GAAACAGGCCGAAATTCACAGTGATTAAAGAATTTCTTCCAAACTATTGAACAGATTTGAACGAAATTTTGAATATACATTCCTAACTACCAAACGGTGATTTTTGAGCTTAAATTTTTTTTTCGATTTTACCTTCGTTTGCGAGTTTTTTTTTTCATTTCACCGTCATTCTTGATTTCACACTTTTTTATTCGGCCCGTATCGCCGGGTAATTTGTCATTTAAATTCGCGGCGATCAAGAAATTTCTTCTAAACTACAGAACAGATTTCAACGAAACTACGTATGTAAATACCTAACCTCTCGACGGTAATGTTTAGCTCGTGACAATTTTTCTATTTTGCTTTAGTTCGCGAGTTATACAGATATAGGAGGAACGACCGGCTTTTCTACCGGCCGGTTTAACCAAAAGCCTTATAACTACATAGCCATCTAACTAGCAAACGAAGGCAAAACGAAAAAATTATAAACATCACCGTTGCCGAGGTTAGGTATTTAAATACTAAGTTTCGTTCAAATCTGTACAGTAGTTTGGAAAAAATTTCTTGATTACTGCGAATTTAAGCACGTATTGCTGTTTAAATCACGAATGAAGGTGAAATGAAAAATAACTCGCGAACGAATGCACAATCGAATAAATTTCTACAATCTAAACATTATCGTCCGGCAGTTAGGACTGTAGATTCAAAATTTCGTTCGAATCTGTTCAGTAGTTTGGAAGAAATTACTTGATCACTGTGAATGTCAGCTCGTATCGCCATATAACTATGGCAAAAACAAACGATGGCAAAATTCAAACAATTTTCACGAACAAAACATTATCGTTAGGTCCTAATGAATACGTGTACCAAGTTTCATCGAGGAACGTTCATTAGTTTGAGAGATATTCCATGATCATTGAATTTTGAAATTGGCCGTGAGCCCGGCCGCGAGTCCGGCCGTTAATTTGTCCGAGACGTAAACCCAGGAGAGGTTAAAAAAACAGATCTGGGTGAAAAAACTATCGCTGGGAGTCATGTGCTGCACGTATTGTGTACAAATTATCAAACAAGCGCTAGAACTTCTGACATTGACTCCGGACTACCGCCCTCCTATCGCCCCCCTTACCGCCCTCTTCTTCCTTACCGCCCCCCAAAATCTTTCCACCGCCCCTAAGGGGGCGATATCGCCCATTTTGGGAACCACTGATTTACTCGCTACTGTCATTTGAGGCAGCCTGTGAGGAGAAGAAAGCTTGATGAAATTTCTAATAAAAATGGAAGACGTAATAACAAAAGTCCGAAGAGAGGTGATGTCCAATTCTGGAAATATTAATCAGCTGCAGATTGATGTTGATAATATTTGCTATGATATTCGCCATCTCTCCACTAAAATAAATCAGATTATAATTCAAGTGAACATATTAAAACAAACATTGAAAAATATTTTAGAAATATAACTTTAAAATAAAATTAAACAGAAGAACTATTTGTACTTCATCTCCATGTTTGAGGTTTCTCATAATTGGAAGTTTGAACTACGGAAAAACGTCTTTGCTACTTAAGTTGCTATTGGAGAACTTTATTGATTTCAACAATCTTTTCCTGTACAGCAAGTCAAATCATCAGCCTGAATATAAGTTGCTGAAGAACGCTTTCGATACGGGATATAATAAATCTGAAAACATCAATTTATTTTCCGACGACAATGGCAATATTGATGAATATCTCGAAAACCTACCTAGAAAACGCCAACAAATATGTGCAGTCTAATATTTTGAGAATACTGTTTCTGTACCTAATCCCACTGATATAGGTCCAAGGAGGAAGAATTTGTTCATTTTTTGGTGCTATTGCCACGGAAAAGAATCAAGATCCTGCTGATTGTTTGCACCCCCGTGGAAGACATAATAACTGTAGTTCAATTTACTTATCCCAAAACTATCACATATTTCCATGACATTAGAACAAATTCAAATTTATTAATTCTATTCGATTTACCTTTCATCGATATGAAGAATAATCATAGTGATTGCATTGCTTGTGTCAAGTCCTGCATTCCTTTCAAGTCCTTTGCAGAGTTTCAAGAACTGTATAATGAGACGTATAAAGTACCTTATAGCTTTGTGATGATTAATAAAGATGAGCACCCGGGTTCTGGAGAGCGTTTCAAAAATTTAAATAAATTATACATCTATAAAAAGTATCGTCCATCAAAAACACTCGCTTAAGCCCTGAGTTCTCGGTTAAAAAGTGCTCGGTCAATCGGGGTAAATGGTCTTTAAGTCATGATTTGGTGAGCGATATTCTGGGTAAATGCTTAGGTTTTTGATCGGAAGACAGTACTCGACTTTTTCGATGGCAAGATTTTAAATAAAATTGTGGGTAAATTACCATGTTATATTCGAGGGTAGTTGATCAATTTTGATGGTTAAGATTCAGGATAGGATTTTGGGTGAATGACTACGTACTATTCAGGGTAATTTGTCCATTTTGCTGGGCAACATTCTGGATTAGGAGTGTGGGTATCTGTAACCTGATAAGCTGTTTATGCAAATTGTTACCATAAGCTCGGTCTCTATACTACTAATATAGATCATTTAGAACGAGAAAAACGAAATATGGTGGATGTTGCTGTTTTTGTTCCGCAGGTTGTTAGCCAAGTGATCTCCCGTTGTATTTTTAATTTTTCCTCAGCGCCCAGCATAGACAAAACCACACTATTGCAATGATGGCTCATGTATCGTTTCAGTTGTAGAACAATGTCACATATTAATGGCCGACCTTCTAATGCCACTTTAACTAACCTAACCAGAAACGTTAGATTGAACAGAAGAATTGGGAGACGATAAAGCAATTTTTATCATGCCCGTCCGCTTTGTAACTCATATAATATTTACTGATCAATTATAGAACAGTAATATTGAAAATTAACGAATTTCAAAAGTCTCAAATCATTCTAACTAATTAATAAAATCCAGTAAGTTTCCTAATTCTTATAGAGACGCGTTGAAGAGAGGTCAGAGATGGTCGAAAAATGTTACCGGAAGTTATAAAACTGATTTACTCACTCGTTACTGTCTTTAACTTTAATTTTTCTGTGAAAAAATATAAACACCATATCACAGCTCGTAACATTCACGTTGCAGAAGGAGTGCCAAAACTTTATCGATGTGGAATTCGTTGACGATATCGTGCAACGTGAAAAAGTACGACGCGTGCAGGCCTGGGCTGCTCTGGATATCCTCGACCCTTACACCATCCCCGGCTACAACCCCAACGGCAGGAAGAAGAGGGGTTAGTAAGGCCCTATTTTGTATTAGGTTCATTTACATTTACAAGCATGTCTGCCTTGTAAGAAGAACTCTCCCTGCTCGATCAGAAAACCCACATCCATCATTAACAAAAATGGTCAGGTTTGGTTCTGGTTTCGCACGTACTCGTAATTAAATTTTCAGTATGGATAGTAAATTTCAGTAAAATTTTCAGTATGGATAGTCCTATTTTGAAATTAAATATTGTTGGTACCTGAATAATTTAATGAAATGTGAAAATAACAAAGATACGTACAAGGAAATCTACGAATTTATACAAACGCTTCAGCATTTATAGCGGTGTTATTAAAGACATGCACTTCCCACACGCTTGCTACCTACAACAAAAATTTTGAAGAACGTTGTAGCCTAAGGCACTCCACTGACACCGTTCTCTGAGATTTCACCACTGAATTCGACAAGATTTAGATAACAGAACTCAGTAAACGCAAAATAATTTAACTCATCCTTCACTCCCGATCGTCATAAGAACGCTGGCTGCATCAATTGATATGGCGAATTACATTGTTCACCCAGTGTCTCATAGAAGCTTGTTTCTCTCCCCCCTTTTTAGCATCTAAACTCACGATTTTTTTGTTGCAGTGCCAGAAGGATATTGTTGGAAAGTAAAAAAAGGTGGCGCAGAGTGGCTGAAAAGAAGAAGGATAAATAAAAAATACAATAAAAGTTGTAATAAGGCGCATGGCGCATGAATAGGTTGAATATAGGTATCTAGGGTTGGTTAGGGTGGGGGGAGGAGAAACAATTAAGGCTTCGGATGATACTCACAACATTTCACCACTGTTTCCTAATACACATTCCGTGTCATATACTGAAGAAACACTACAAATAATCGCAGAATTATAACGACACTAAAACGCAGCACTTCAAATTCACCAGCAGCTTTCCAGTATTAATCTTCATCAGTTGGAACAAGGCATCTGGAAAATTTAAAGACAAAAGTCGCTAACCTTGCACAAACAGTAGAAACATATTATGGATGAAATCATACTTCTGAACACCATGCATTTATTTAAATATCTACACACCGTATCAAAAACATATACATATATACAATAGCGGAAAATCTCACAAAAGAGCACTAAAAGTTTTGAAAAATGAACACTAGTGTGATTTTATTTCTAAGACAATATTTTGTTTGATGAGCTCGTTCGCCCGATTCTGTGTGAACACAGAATCACACAGAATAGATTATTCTGTGTTCAATCACCTGATTGACCTGTTCATTTTATTTATTTTTCTATTTTCAACTCACCAAGTTAACATCATTGCTCATTATTTTGTATATATTTCCAGCTTAGTTAACATTCTAGTTAATTATAATCGGCTGCTCACGTAATCCTCTTGAAGGTTCTGTTTTTATAAACTGTTTACTTATTGTTATAATTGACACTTTCATCCATTATATGTGGTTTCTCACCCTCCAAGCTACACTTATACTTCGTTCTTCACCAATATTGCGTAAACGGTCGACACCTATCAACTGCTTCTCACTGTATCAATTAATGCTTTCTAATCAACTTTGATACACTTGGTTTTCATAATCAGTATCTCATTTGTCCGGTCGACATGCTAATTTTGCTTCGCCGTGCAGCTGTGAGCGACGTGGCGCTGTGCAACCGCGCGTCGGTGAGCGGCGCGGACGACATCAGCTACGGTGAACTGAGCAATGCGCCCACAGACGTCCTAATGGAATGCTTGGGGGCCTTGGGGTCCCGCTACATGGACGCCGGCACAGCCCAGGTTACTGCTGTGCTACTCTAATTAGATTGAATAACAGCCCTAGTGTGACCATAGCGTAATTTTAGCAACTTATTCTGATCCAAAGTGTCGATGATAAAATTTCTCTTCAAATTTTTATTTGACTGCAGCAATGCCATAATGTAATCATATTGTGTATATTGTGACCTCACCATGTAACGATAATCGTCCCATGTGGAGCGAAAATGGTATCGACTTTGGAAAATTTTCAATTTGACGTTAAAGATGGATGTAATTAATTTTCTAATCTCAAATCGCAGAATTAATACTCGGCTCATTCATTCCATTTAATTTTGTAAGAGGTATGAACCCGTTCACCCATGGCATGTATGGTTACAAGCCTGGCCAAGGTTAGTCGCTACAAACGTCAGCACATGCCTGCTAACATTCATACATATGTTAATAGGGCCGTAATGTGCCAGCTGTTTTGTGGGCACCGTGCCAAACATTTACAACTTCTCATCCAGAGAAATTATTAAATTATTGGAACTAATATGCTGTTGACTAATATGCTGTTGCAGTCGTCCCGAGGCCAGTGGTTTTTATAATTTTAGCCTAGACAAAGTGGCCCTGCATTTAAAATTTTAGGGTAGAGCGGTGACATTGCATGGCTAAGGCTAAAAACGGAACTTTGTGAAGTCTGAGGACCCTTGTGTGTTTGCCGTCAACCTCTTCGATGAGTAGATGACCAAGTGGTGCTGGCGGACCATGAGTGGTAGACGATCTGTTTTCATCTTACCATGGAAATTCGTGAAGAACTCAATCTTGTATTATCGTTGACTCGCAGTCTGATAGACTTTTCATATTATCGATTAGTTCATTGTTGCACATTAGTTCACTTCCTGGTCTTCTGTTATCATCTGACAAAATGCGCTTTATAACATCACACCATATTTGCAGGTCCTGGCAAACAAAGTTCGGGAAAACCTGAGCACGCGCTCCTGGTCATCTCTCACGAACGATCTCATGAGAGACATGAACTTCATCATGAAGGGCATCCCTGCTAATGAAATCCGTGACCTGCCGCGCCTGGCTCCTCCCAACGATTTCTCCGACACCGTCACCGTCTTGGGCAACGAAAAGATGATGTTCTCCGACGACCAGGTATGGATTTCCAATTATATATTATGACATATGAAACTGTGGTTTTGACTCGCAACGAATAATATGACAAATAACAAAAGTTGATAGCAATCGAGCATTTCATTTTATAAACGGCGATGCAAGTTACAGCAAGCAATTTTTGCTCAAGATAAACAGTAACTAAAATGGATGAATAAACATAATCACAATGAATTTTAACAAACGATAATGACCTATGATGAACGACGAAAACATAAATCTTATAAGCTCATTACTTACACTGGACGATGGCAAGGCCATACGCTGAATCCTGACACGCGACGAAAGGACTAAACGCTGAATCTTGACACGCGAAAGCAGGACGAAACTGAATCTTGATTTACGACCACTGGACCATGCGCTGAATTTTGACGTTGAACCTTGACACGATGTTCGGATGAAGCGCGAAATCGGGATTCGCAAACATCTGATCATAACATGTAATTTCCAAAGGTTTTTTTAGACAATAAAGAATGATAACTGACGATATTATGAGGTGAAAGATAATTTATCAGACGAAAACGATAATTTTTATTGTGTTCTCGGGCAGCGCCTGAGCCTGAAAATTCGCATGAATTGCAACGAATGAGATAGAATATACATTCAATAAAGTTGAACCGAAACTAGTTTCGGTTCGGTTCTATGCCTTTTAACGAACATCTTAGGGTTAGGCTCATTTTTTGGTAACACATTACTGTTGGGCGTACTTATTTACTTATCTTTTACATAATGAGTGCTGCATCATTTGGTATATTTTACTCAATACTTATTATATTTACTTGGTACGCATGGACACCATTACTTTCTCAGGCTTGGTGAATGTCTCCTCTTTCTCATTTCATCGACGTCCAATCATGATTGCAGTCTTTGGCACGAAAAGCCGGAACTGGTATCAATATATCTTTATCTTCCAAAATTAAATGTATGACATTCAGTTTTTCCTTATTTCAGAAGCAAATTTACAACAGTTTGATCAATCAGAACGTATTTCGATCGCCAATATAATGACATATTAGTTGACGTTTATCCCTTATGAAATCAATATTCTTTCACTCCCCTATGTACGATCAGAATTTACCTTACTTCTTTTATATTGCAATAGATCAGTTCCCGTTTTCAAACATCTAGTATACCACATGATGAATTTTCTTAAGTTCAGCTAAGTAAATTATTGTATCACGATCTTCTTTTCTGTTTCCCAGCTCCGAGTACGCGGACAAGGTGCTCACGACATGGCGGTCGCTGGCCGACATGTCGGACAAGCAGCTCGCCATGTACAACCGCCTCCTGTGCGTCGCCAACGCCTCCCTCATCAACTCCCTTAGTCCAGAACGAGTTGGGTACGTATGTACTGAAGTCTTCTACGGTCAAATTTTCTCTTTATACATCTTTAAAAAATCTCCATTGCAATTCGGGTGGGTCGGACAGTTATGAGGTACGTCGTCTTCAGTCAAACTTTGTAGTAGCAAATCGAGGAGATCTCGGTTGATATCATTTTTGCTCACTTACGCAACGCTATCTTACTTTTAATCATAATCGCTTTTTACGTGCAGAAACGCACTGACTTACCTCGGAGTCACCCTAGAAGGCTGCAGCAGGGAGAACGTGTTGACTCCCCTAGCTTTGAAAGCCCTCTCGTATTACCCTTTCAACATGAACAAAGCTCAGGTGACAATTGCATTCTCTCTTCGCATCTGTGAAGTCCATGCAACGTTTGTTTCATGAAAACAACTTATAATCTTATTACAGTAATATTCTTTCCAGTATATCACTTAGCAAGAATGTATGTCATTTACGAATGTGTAATTGGTGTACCAAGCTTAACATCACTTGCTAACAATGAGCAATTGTTATAACCATTATATTTTATAAAAACTAACGCATTGGATTTCAGGTGCGTGAGATGGGTGTGGTCTTCGCCGGAATCCCCTATGACAAAATCGCAGGCCGTGACGCGAGTTCCTTCACCGGCCTCACGCCTGCCGCTCTGCGCGCCATGTCCAGCGAAGCCATCATTGTACGTAGGGTACCAAAGTACGTAGGGTACCACCTTGGCGCCGCTGGTAAAGCCATACGTTGAAACACAACCAACGCCACAGTCGTGCTGGGTCTCAGCTAAAGCGACTGTGGGCTGCTCCACTGCCCTGGCTCATGTGTAACTCTCCATGCCTATTGGCGTTTGCTGGTACCGAATCAGTGCCGTTTTGGCCGAAATCCGGCCGTTGTGCGTATTACACAAAAACGCAGCCCTCGGTACCTGCTTACAGGTGGCATCATATTAGTAATTCACCCTATCAAAATCCGGTGTCCGCCTAGGCTTCGGCGAATAGTCGCTACACTTGGCGCCATTGTTATTCTGAGTCGATCGAAATCAGTTCTATAAAATCTGCCCTATCGAAATCAGTTTCTGGTCAGAATCTCGTATGCGACTTTATAGTCTAACGAGAGTATGAGAAGAGTTGGCCGAGCCGAGCCATACCGAGCTTGCGAGTTGCCCAGAGGCTGCTTTTAAAATCCAGAGCCTAGGCTGACTTTTTTCGTCACAATAACGGCTAGCACGAACACCATAACAGTTGCATCTGGAGAAAACTTATGCAAATGAATCAAAACACATTTATACATCAACAAATTTTATTTGTTCTAAAAATTTTGATGTAAAAAAATACTCGACTTAAAAATTGAAAAATTAGTCAATAAATTAATCAAAAATATAAATACACCCATAAACGAATGGAAATTTGTAACAAACTGCACGTTCATTCCTTGACCAGTCTTTGTATCGAGGTACAACATTACCGTGTAATAAATTGAAATCCGGCAATTTAACAGCATTACATAGATCAAAACTCACATTGCATGGTTGTGAAAACAACATACATCTTGATTACAATAATTGTTTTCGCCACGTTCTTTTTTATAACAAACATCTACAGAAAAACATAGCAGACTTATCGACAAACCTCCAATTGATGATTCTTCTTACTAAGCCAAGACCCTGGGCTGAGAAAAACAATCCCAATTAATAATTAGTATTGTAAAAAGCATGATGAAATATTATTCCTAATGCTGAATTTAAAGTAGACCAAATCCACGTAGTCCTAAAATTAAAATTTATTAGTTTCGTTAGTAATGAAGTATATCACTGTCATTATTTGGAAGAAACCACTTAGTTCACAAAAGTTGAGCACATCATCAATAGAAATTTAATGAATAGGAAAAACACTTGAGATACTTTCAGATGTTGTCGCTGGACTTTGCGGTGGACAACGCTCTAACTCTAACAAAACTTAGAAACGAGCCCGACTCTAAAATAGTAAATGCCTAAGGCTCGGGGAGCAAGTAAAGCAGCTTCTCTGTGTCCGTTTTTGTTCTACCTTCTGGTCCCAAGTCAGATAGCTACGAGAGCCTGGTCCCAACCCTGGCGGCCACTGAGCAGTGTGTATTGGGTTCGTCCCAGTATCCCTGCTCTGACTTAGTTTGACAATGAGGTAAAAAAGTCGTCCCCTTCCTGTGCATTGAGAGAAATGTAGGGACAATTCAATATAAACGTTCGTCATTTTAAATAACTGTTGCGAAACTCGTTGAACAAAATGAGAATAAAAGAAAACTTGGAACACTTGGTATGAATGCGCAGGTGTAGAACATTTTTCACTCACTACTGAAAAATTAGTCGACATTTTTCTTATGATAAACGGAATTATGCAGTGTTACAGAACTTCGGCCTAGGGAACTGTGCTACCTCGGTATTCACCACAGCTTTAAAAAAAGAGGACAATAATTGGAGACAAGTTTTATCAACATTCGGTTTTATGAAGTGGTAATGGCTTACCACTCCACGCATTCTTACTGGTAGACATTTACAATCGCAGAAAACTTACTCACTAACCTGCTGCTGCGTCCATTCATAGTAGTCCAGTGCAAGTGATAACTCTTATAGATATTGTTTAGATGTTATATAACACTCGCAGGTCGGTGAAACCTCAACGCGCCGCTCCTAGGATTCGAACCCGGGTCTAGCAGATCCATAGTCAAATGCTCAACGTAGCTTGCTACGACGGCATGTACATTGCTCACTACTCCTGAATATTTTATACATACTGATGACAACGATAGACAATAAATGAAACTTTCCTTTTTTAACAATGCAGAAAGGGATTGCACTAACTATGCTCTGCTCTACTTCGATGAAAATATTGTTTGCGGAATGAGCACCGTGTTTTTCTATTGAGAAAAGCACTTGTCGTTGGAGAAAAATTGTTCTCGACTAACCTTTAAATGTTAATTTGTTTGGTAAGAATCTCGCTAGACTCTCCCCAAAAAATCTTCATATTTCAATTTGAAAAAAAATGTTTAGTCGTTCGTCAAGACATGCTTTCGCAGCCTATCTATGGGCTGGAAATGGCCGTAACGTGAGTCCAGTTACTCGATCGTGTCGTGTTCGGACTAGTACGAAACACTAGGCTTTATTGTGATGATTTCCTAAAGTCTTAAAATAACTGTTAAGTTATTTAATTATAATATGTTCTTGTGTAATCGAGCTTTGCACTTGTGAAAAAAGTGTCACGGATTTTTATAACCGCCATCTAGGCGGCTATATACGATGTTTAACGGCTAACTATCCGGCGCCTTCTCTTGGTCGAGGTGCAATGTGCATAAAAGCAGTGGCGGTGTCCGCTGGCTTGCTCGCAGCACCTCATCACTGCACGCGTTTGGTCTTTGGTGGCTCTGATATTTTATTCATACTAATTACTTGTTTGAGTTGAAACAATTGCTCTAATTTATTATTTTTTCCTCCTGGAGGCGATGAGCCCAGATCAGCTAAGCAGTCTTTCGCGTGTGACATCGATGGCTTTGTACGAACGATTCGGCAACAACTCGATTGTGGCAAGTACTACTACCACCAGCGGCAGCACTACTACCTACGGCAGTACCCCTACCTACGGCAGTATGACCATTTCCAGCAGTACGACCACCTATGGCTCAACGACCAACTATGGCAGTCCGGCCAACAGGAGCAATACCACGGGACGAGATGAAATGTCGAAGCCAGGTAATTTCATCGCGAGGCAGCAGTTGTCTTCTTCATGAAGTATTTAACCTTAGAAAAATGCAGAGTTGATGCGTGTATGAGGTCGGTTGTACCTAGAGACAATGTGATTCATGTATTGAAAATATAATCATTAAAATTAGGGAAAGAATAACGTATAATTAGTGCGACCTTCTCTAGAAAGCCCTCTGCGGCCTTACGACACCAAATTCTTAATTCAGAGGTTCAATGAGCAATAGTAATATTATTACCCTCAATTTCGAATTCAAAAATGAACATATTAGTTTGTTGGATGGACAATTGCAACAATATGAACATAAATATGTGATACGATGTAGAATGCTAATGAGTGGAATTTTTATGACATTGCCCTAACGGATCTATTAGTGTACAAGGAAAATAATCCACTGAGACTAGATACAGAATATTCAAATTCTAGACAGCATTGTACGTACCAAATTTTTTTATTTCTTGTTTTTGCTCTATGATTTTCATGATTTAGAGCATAAACAAGCAAAAAAAATAACATTTTATAGTATTTGAATTTACGTCTCCTTGGATGCCTTCTACTCCCAGGAATGTCGGCTGCTGCTGCACTTCTGTCGCTGCTCTTCGATGTCTTCGCTTGGTAGAAGACATCACGTTCAACATCTCCAGCAGTTATTACATTGAAGCGTCAACATTGTCAGTCATAAGTTCAGCAACGCTTCTACAATCAACACGGAATTTCTAACAACCCTAAAGCCATAACAAAGATAATTATATCTAAATAATTCCATTAGATTGACCTAGTAAGTACGAGGCATTTCGTTTAAAGTGATTACCTCCTTTACATTAAAAAGTAAATTTATTACAAGAATAAGTTATCCACTTGAAAGGAAATACTTAATTCAACTTTTCTACATAATTCCCATTAATATTGAGACATTTATCGTATCTTGGGACCAGCTTTTGTATGCCATCGTCAGGAAGCTTTCCGCCTGATCAGACAAACTGATAAGACAATTCCGTTCAGAACACTTCTTGAGAACGCAATAAATTTTTCAGCTAAGGACGAACTCATGAATTGACTGTGCTCATTAACTTTACAGTTCACTTTTCGAATCAGGCCATCGCTAATGACTGATGGCCTCTCACTTCGTTCCGTATCATAAATATTTGTGTGGTCATTTTTAAGGCTCTAACATATTTCCGCACCATTCCTGCACTGATGATGTTCTCACCTGACACATCGCTGACCTGGTAATGATGTCAACTGAATTGAAGCATTGAGCACATGGAAACTCAAGCACTTCACAGTCGGTATATAGTATGCACAATTGGTGGAGGCATTTTGAATCCACGTAGATGTAGACTCATTCAACAAATGTAGACTCAATCAACAGATGTAGACTCAATCAACAAATGTAGACTTAATCAACAGATGTAGACTCAATCAACAGATTTATTTAGACTCAATCAACAGATTTATTTAGACTCAATCAACAGATGTAGACTCTGTCAACAAATGTAGACTCAATCAACAGATGTGGACTCAATCAACAGATGTAGACTCAGTCAACAAATGTAGACTCAATCAACAGATGTAGACTCAATCAACAGATGTAGACTCAATCAACAAATGTAGACTCAATCAACAGATGTAGACTCAATCAACAGATGTAGACTCATTCAACAAATGTAGACTCAATCAACAGATGTAGACTCAATCAACAGATGTAGGCTCAATCAACAGATTTATTTAGACTCAATCAACAGATTTAGACTCAATCAACAAATGTAGACTCAATCAACAGACGTTGACTCAATCAACAGATGTTGACTCAATCAACAGATGTGGACTCAATCAACAGATGTAGACTCAATCAACAGATGTGGACTCAATCAACAGATGTAGACTCAATCAACAGATGTAGACTCAGTCAACAAATGTAGACTCAATCAACAGATGTTGACTCAATCAACAGATGTTAGATGTAGACTCAATCAACAGATGTAGACTCAATCAACAGATGTAGACTCAATCGGATGGT